CCCTAAGACAGCTGATCTTGCTGATATATGTCCTGCACCTGTCTAGGTTTGCTGGCTGTAAGGGCTGAACTTGGAATTCATAGCCCAAATGCATACACTAGTGCTAGAGCAAAGATACGTTGCTACATATCTGGCTAATCCTCAGCTTTCTGTGGTTTATGCATCTCTTAGAGGCATGCAGCAGAATATCTCATGACATACACACATCTCAGTTTGACCACTGAACAGATGTTCTCCATGGTACTAGAGACTACAGCAGTGAGTATTAACTCATCCAGCCAAGAATGACATTGAACCATTTACACCTATGCATCTAGAGCACCATTTCTTCTTGCGTTTGTCCTGGAGTTATTGAATAACAACTATTAATAGTAAATTAACATGCAATTGGCAACAGCCAACTGATTGTCTTAATAAACTATCTGCATGCCCCTTTTATTACTGAGCAAACTGCAACTCCAGAAGGTGAGGATTTGATTTCAATGGAACCTCTACTGCTCCAACTTTATCCTTTAAAATATGTGCACACTGCATACAGGTACTTTCCTGATGCCAGGATTCACAGATAGAGTTAACACTTTCTAATTCACTGGAAACTGCACATCTGTCTACAAATGGGTTTAAAGTTATGTTTTTCTTGGTGATCAGTGAAACAAGAAGGCAGTTCCTACTCCTCGCTTAGTGTAGTTCTGTCTCTGACCCAATCAAGGAATGGGATAAATTTTCGTTGGACACACAATGGATCCTGCTTTCCTGCCAGCTCAGCTCAGCATTGTCTATCTGAGGTCTCTGTGGTATAACGACAGTAATACCATGTACCTTCTACAGTCCTAGAAAAAAATGCAAATAGACTAAGCCAAACGGTGGCTTAGTCTATTCTTGATCTGAATCATATCTGAGGAAGTCAGCATCACCTACAGAAGGAATCTAAAGGAAAGCAACAAGTCAAACTCCCCTTAAAATTGGAGGGTATGGATACCCACCCACTATGTCTAAAAGTCAAACTTCTCTCACAAAGGGAGGTTTGGGAAATCTTTCCATTATGGTTCTAAGTGCCCATGACTTTCTAACAGAAAGAGTTGTTAAAGGAACAGCTCTGCCACTTGAAAAAAAAAAAGGTTGTTTTTCAAAGAATTAATTACCACCAGCTTGCTTGGCAGTGAAAGCAATGGAAAATAGTCAGTGTGTTTCATGTAACAGCAAATGGAAGTGTTTTAGGACTCCTGAGCCTCCCCCCTCATGTCACGCAGAGGTGAGCAGAGACTAAAGAAGTATTTTTTATACTGTAACAAAAAAAGTTTAAGTACTAATAACTATTGTTCATTCTGTTGGCAGGATTTTAGTACAGCACCACACTGCAACCTGGAGAACACAACATTTATGCTTTATATGAACATAAAGCAATCCCATCCATATATTCTAAACATATGTCTTGGCACAGAGTACTCTGCTGGGTGCACATGTCTATAAACTGGACCCTTTAAAATAAACTCTGGGAAGCTTCCAGATTAATTAGCAAATAAAACACATGGAAAGTAGTTCAGTCCATAGTTTTGTATGTGAATAACATTCTCATAATAGCTTAATTTTATTTGTGCTTTTAAGCTACATGTTAGACATAGGTTGAGGAATTACCATTGTTGCTACAGGGAAACGGTGGGCTCAAGAGGAATCTTAGGATGAGCAAAAGCAGGCTAGAAACCACAAAACCAGAATACTGCCACATGCAGAAGGGCAACCAGAAGTTATTAGTTTTCTAACATACCTTCCTAAACTAACTTCTTTGTATTTGTGACTTCTCCCTCTTGTTTTGCAAAGGGGGAATATCTCTCTGTAGCACAAGGGAAGCAGCTAAAGTCAGGACTAGGTAAGGAAACATGCAGAGGAAGCACTGAGCTGCAGGATCGTCTCACAGCTTTGAGCTTCAGAGCAGAAAGCTTATATTATTCAGAGGGATGCTGGGGTTGGTATTCAGCAAACACCAGCCTGCTCACACTTGGGAAGCTGACAGTTGGGACAGTGAACAGGTCTTGTTTTCAGTGCTTGCTCATCTCTAGGGACGAAGGCTCTTCCCTGAGTGACAGTACCAGGACTTTGCTTAAGTGATAATCTGACCAACAGGGGAAGCTGTTTAAACAAATATGTGCTACTGAAGAAGCCCAAAGGAATCACACTTCTTTGCCCTTTTACCTACTAGCATTGAGGGTTAGTACACTTCTATGAACACTAGCATCCTAATCCTACCAGAAGAACTGATGCTTAACACCTAGGGATTTTTATTTCTTTGATCATACAAGACAGGTGAATACTTCCTATCCTAAGCCAAATCCTCAGCCTACAAACCAAGATTCCTACAGGAGGATATGAAGCATAATGGCACCTTGAAAAAATCTTGTTGTGATAAACAGACCAAGTTTAAACCGTCCAATTGCCCATGCCAGCTAAATCAGTGCCAACCAAATATATAACCCATCTTCCACAAAGTATTCTTTTAAGTAGGAATGTTACTGAATGTTAGAGGCTTCCTTTGTTTCTTTTTCTTTTCAACAAATCTGAGATTCTGCATTTTCATTCACCTCACAAAATCTAGAGGATGAGCTAAGAAAATCAGCCATGATAGAGACTGTATACTTTACCTATCATTTGATGGGAAAGACATTGATATTTGTTTTATTAAACAGTGCATAATTAAAAGTCAATATGCAAGAATGCGAAAGAATCTGTGTAACTAGTCAGTTTTTTTTTTCAATGGCAATACCTAATTTATAGGAAATCAGTGATAACATGTTTGTTTTCAACATTATCTGTAAAATTATTTGCATATTACAAAAATAAACCCATATGGCTTTGCCTTAGCAAATAAACATCCGTTGGCAAAGTTCACAGGAAGGTGATCCAGCTTAGGCACTGAACTGAGAAGTGCTATTCAGGGAAGATAAATTATAGTTTACTTCTTCAAGTCTCCAGCACATTGTGCAGAAATGAGTTTAGTTCCTTTGAGAGTATCTGTCATATCCAAGCAGGGAAGAATACCTTAATAGGCCGTGCCCATTTCATAATGCATACAAGATAGATGTCTCCAGAGGAGGGAGAGAAAGAGTCTTATGTTAAAAGTTTCTGAGTACAAGCTTGCTAAGAAAGTTGGCGAACAGTTATAGAAACTAATCCACTCAATGAATTAGTAGTGTTTGTTAGTAAAGCACCACTGGTGTGAAATCATTTCATTAACTATAACGATATACATGCTACACCATGCCCTAGTCTTCATTTGCTCTAGCAAGTATAGCAGCCAGATTTTGAAAGTCTGACAAGAGTCAATGAGTGGCAACTACACAAATCAAAGGAAACAAAACCAGTCGTTCTAAGGATTTTACTTCCAAAGGAATTTAAAAAGAAATGGTACCTATTAGGCATAATGCCTGACAGGTGCATGTAGGAGAATAACAAAGAGAATCTACAGATTGAAATGGGATACTTCCAAACAGTTTGAAATGCCTGAAAACATTTCCAAAAGGATTTGTTTATGCCAAGAAAAGCAGTCTTTTTTCCATTGTTGCTCAAGGTGCCAGGCATAGTCTGAGCTCACAGAGACAGGGCACAAAGCCAAACCCAACCGGCTCCTGTTGTGGATTGGAAACAAGCTAAAAAGCCAAGCCTGATTTACAGAGCTCTGGCTGAGATCTTGATCTGAACCTCCCCACTGCCTGGGTCAGTCTGAAATCAGACTCTTTGCTCTGGACCTCTCCTGAGCTTATCTTGGCTGAATAAAATTCTTTTTTTTCTCTCGTTTGTTCTTCTGAGCAGAAGTGAGGGGGTGATTTGACATGCAAACAGCACAGCTCTGCAGCAGCAAGCACATGGAAGATAAGAGACATACTGCTGTAAAGTAAGCACCAGAATTTGTTTGCATTTTGAGCAAGGACATAGCTACTGAGTGTGCAGTGTTACAGCACTGGGCTAATGGACCAGATCTCCATTGGGAAGAGGCTACAGAGATGGAAGGAAGATGGACCCCCTTCAACTCCATGATTCCTTTCACATTTCTCTTTACTAGGCTGTAGGACTGATGTGCTGATACTACAGCACTGTTGACCTGCCATAACAAAATTTGAGCCTGAAGCACTTCCCAGACCTGCCCCGGTTGTCCCTAAGTGACACAATTAAATGCAAGCTTGCATTCAGGACAGGCAGTGTTTAAATTCTGTATCACAAACATCCTAAACCTACTCTAGAAAAAACAGTTTTCCTATGTGACCATAGGTGGGCAGAAACCATTTCTGAGACATGTTGAATCCACACACACTTGAGCTTTGAAATTCTGCTGCCTGGGGCTGAGGCATAAGGTGGGGAGAGAAAAAGAGAGTCAAACGAGATGCCTGATTGCCCACGTATAGAGCAGCGGCAAAGCATCAGCCTCAACATCTGTCCTCCCTTCTTAGCCTTCTGTATACCCTACAGAAGTTTACACTGAGCTGCAGTAAATTGCTCACATTTGCCCCTTTCTCATTTTCCCCCACCCAATGTCTGCAGTTACACCATCCCTTGAAAAGACTTTGAAAATCTTCCAGTCATAATAAAAGAGGAAGTAAATTATTATTTCCCCAGCACAAGAGCAGAGGAAGCATGCTGCTTTGCTCTGTGGGTCGTGCATGTATCTGTGCTCTCATTAAAGTTACAGTAGAAATTTCACCCTGCTGAAGTCAACAGGAGTTTGGCACTGGATCTTCATCCTCTGCAGATCACTCTACTACATCTTTTGAAAGCACTGGCTAGTATCTCAGCTCCCCCAAGCAAGCAGAACCAGGAATTTCTAGTTTGAAGGAGATGATCTTACAGATGGATTAAGAGGTTTTAGTAACCCTCCACCTTATTTCAGCTAGGATAGCTTAGCAAACTATCCTTCACATTACATGAACAAGAGCCCTCATCCACTTGCACAGTGACTGCTTGTAGCCTACTGCCCACAAAGATGTGCAAGAGCTCAGGGATAAAACACTCACCACCTCTGCGTCAGCAGGCATCCACTGCTGTGTTAGGCACATCCCCTGCTCATGCAGTGGCATGCTGACTTTGGGCACACGTCCCAGTAAAGACCACACAACCTCTCACCACCGCCTGTGTGCAAAGCCTCTCAGCTGCAACACAGTCCGTGTGATAGCCCTGTGAGTAGGTGCAGCTGAACACCATGATCTGCAGGGATTGTTATGATTTTCCCATTGTATACAGCTGCTCATGCAGCAACATTTAGAGAAAAGATTCATTGAAATAATTTTTCACTCTCTGGGCTTCTTTCAAAGCTGGATTTCTGTCTTAAAGGTTCCCAGCCCTGTAAGCTGACCATCTTCTCATTCCTTGTGTTTTCGAGACACCAGACATTTGAAAACACTTGGAAAATATGGTGGATCTCTGTGGAACATTCTTCTTATCTGCAAACACTCAAGTGCTTAAAAGAAAGTATTTTTCAAATGTGTGCAGCAGTGATTTGGCATCTTTATGTTAAAATTAACTAATTTTATGGTATTACCTTCTGGCTGCTGCTCATGACAATTTAGATTTTGCAGTTACAGCCCATTATAAAAGAGAAGGGCTGCAAGAGGGTATTAACAGCCTATTTAGGATATAAAGCATAGTGCAGTACACAGATTTAAATTCAGGTGCAGTATAAGGTCAGCCTTGAATTGTATGTATAATATGTTTGTCAGGCACCCCATGTGTAAAACTGACAGCTCTAACCTAGTTGCCACAGGCTGTTTTATACAGTTGGGAATATTATGTCTCTTTGACTTCAGTGATGTACACTTGAAAAGAAAATTGTTTCATTTTGAGGAAACTTGGAAAGCCAGAGCCTCCTACAGTAATGAAATACAACATAAACTTTCTAGTTAAACAGGCTATTTGGAATTAATTAACATCAGCTTATGCCACAATTACATGAGATGCATACCCATTAATAATAAAAAATAATAATGAAGCTTACATGATCCAGTTTTCTTTTTGTATAAATTTGACACATGTCAAGTCTGGCTTTGCTCTGCCCCATTGGAAACGTGACCTGAATGCTTTCAGCACTTCAGATTCCAGTGAGCACCTGGTGCATGTCTCTGTGATCCTGAAGTGCACACTGCATCAGGGTGAGGGATCAAGTGCTCACTGCTAACTTAAGACACAAGTTGTTTATCACCATCTTGTGGAGCTGTGGTCCTAACTTTTCCTATAGCAGAGGCAATGCTCTAGTGGAAATCATTTGAATTTAAACACCAGACCACTTCTCATCCACAGCAATCAAGCCTTTCAGAAAGGACAGTGGGAAAAGAAAGAGTAGCTTTTAGAAGGCGCATGCTGATGAAGAAAATGAGGCACACAGTAGCACTTCAGCTTGCCAAAGTCATATAATGGATGTGGGATAGAACTGTTTCGAGTCAACCTCTTCAGCAGAAGCCCAGCCTCTCACACCACATGCAACCACCAGACTGAAATGGGAGAGGAAACAATTTACAACAATTGCAGAAATGACAAAGGTGTAGGCTCTGAAAGGATGGGAACTGACCAGCATTAGGATACTATCCCTTCCTTATGACCTACAGCTTTCTTCCAGAGAACAACAGTGCTGTTTTCAATCATTTCTCACTCGCCTTCTCAGAAGAAATGAAGGATAATTTATCAGGCCATTGCACAATGAAGTCCAAATCTTCACAGAGCGGTCTGAAGACAGCAAAGTTTTTTATGAGGACTCTTGAGAGCTAGATTCTCCACTGGTGTAAAGCAACACTCAGTAATGTCAAACGGAACTACGCCAATTTACATCGCCCGTGGATTCTGCAGCTTTATTTCTTACATAAGTGTTCTCAGTATCTTTCAGTCACCTCCCTAAAAGGTACAATTCAGATCGAATATTTATCATCCTTCTATATTTCTTATCTTCACTTTAAATTGGAAAAGAAAATAACAAGCTCTCTGCAGAGTAATCAGTTGCTATAGTAAACATTACTTTAGCATACAATGCAGTACTTATCTCTGTTCTCTTTAATTAAATCTGCACTATACACTGTCATTTGTCTATGCAGAAAAAGTGTTCTTCTCACCAAGCAGAAACTTTAACTCCACTAATTAACTCTTTGGTTTTAGAACAAATCAGGAAAGAAGTTAAATGAGCCAGATTTTCCTCAGGCAGTTTTCCTATTTCTCATGTTACTGCAGACCAGTCATTTTTGTGCCTCAGCACAGTTGTAATGGTGGAAAAGATACTTATACTATGTAAGAAAATCACTTCTGTGGGCCTCATTTATCTTCTAATGATAATGAATATTCCAAACCTAAAGTTTAACTGAATATATGAGTTTTTACATTGGGAGAATCACATGTAGGCACTATGTACTAGTGAAGGGCAAAAGCATGAAGAAGATACTCAGAACAGATATAAGACTGATGATTTCAAACATTTAGGTGAATGAATATTTGGGTCTGAACTGCTACTGTGTAGAGATATATAAAATAAGTATTGGTGTCAGTTACAGGTCATTTGCTCAAGTGGTCTAAATCATGGAAAGGTTCTGCTACCTCAGAGCAAATGGTCAGGCTTGTATCAGCAAAGTCTCTTGTCCTACAGTCTGAAAAGAAAGGCAGTATGCTGTTTTGGGAATGTCTCCAGCAAAAATGGAGCCAAAGGTAAGTTTGAGAAAGCACCTGGAAAGGAATTTTAACTGAAGACTTCAGCTGTTTAATAGAAGTGAGAATGCTCAGATAGTGAGCATTAGAAATGAGATGCTCAGACAGCAGTATGTAACAACATTGAAGAAAGACTTCTTCAGTGAAGCCTTTCTGCTCCAGTTCAGAGAAGCAGACCCAATAGTGCATCACTGTGCTCAGCTACTTAGCCCAGAAGCTGCACTGAAATCAATGGTAATGAACGATGCCTCTAGTGATTATTCATGTAGGTTTAGGACCTACTCTGCCCCAGGTATGTGCAGACCTTGGTTTGATATTATCCTTGAAGCATAGTTTGTTTCTGAGCTCATGGATTCCAAATGCTGTGCTAGATAATGACTAATCCAAAATTAGACGATTAAAAGCAGTAACAACAGTTTGTAAAATATTGCCTGAATTTTTGTCAATGCACTTCGCAGATATGATGTTTTCTGCTTGTGTAACACTTAAAACAGTTCAGAATATACACTAAACTCTACAAAGTTAGTGTATATTCTTGGTACAAAGACATGGAAAACATTGTGTTGTTTCACAGTTCTGTGGTAGGGCCCATGGGCACCGATCTAATTTTGCTGCATTGCAACAAGGCATCTAATATCACAGCACAACCTACAATTGAGCAGGAGTTAGAGCAGCCACCACAGTACCAGTACAACCCTGTCATTTCAATTCTTTACGCTTTTCTCACCAGCAAAGTCTCATCTCCCCAGTCTAATAGTGTCAGCTAATAACCAGTAACAGTCTCAACAATGGAAAATATATGGAAAGCGAAAGGAACAGGCTGGAATAAGGAAACAAAAGCTCACATTCTTGATCCAACCACAAGTTGAGGGACTGGGACAAGAAGGGCATAAAACAGTCTTCTGATTTGTAATCTGAAGTTACATCAGGAAGCCAGAATGTTCAGTCTTCAGAGTGACATTGCTTAAAAATTACATCTCTGTTTTAGGATGATAAAACTTTAATGAATCAAAGAATGAAAACCTCTTGGGTTCAAAAGGTCACACCTCAACTGAACTGACATATGGATGTGCATTTTTTTGGTTTCCATGCCATTTTCCACAAATAAATAAATAAATAACAGGAAACTATCCAAAATACAGGTTTTGACTAGTAATTTGAAATTTCCTTACACAAATGGATTATGGTGTACTTTAGAATTAGCCTAGATGAGTTTACAGGGATGTTACAAAAGTTAACAGCAAATCCACACAGCACACCAGGACTCTCTACTCATGAGAGATGCCATTTACCGTATCAAATTCTACTGGTACTTCTATTTGTGCAAACCATCTATTTGTGCATCATCTATTATTGGAGTAGTGCCCAGGAGAAAGAAGATACTGTAACTGATAGGCACAATGGACAATAGAGTGGAACCTCCTTGGAAAGATTTCATGTGTAAGATCTCTTTCATTAAGCATCTCTTTGGCCTACCTTCTCCTTTTCTCCCTTACCAAGAAGTTTAAAGGAGAAAGAAAAATATCCACCCTTTGGAAACCACACAGATGTAGGAGCTCTGCAACCTGTGTGTACCAAATTGTATTTCCAAGCAATCTGTTTGGCCAGTAACGGAATGAAGCAACCCTACACTACCTTTTCTTCAAGGACCTCAATGTGCCATAGAAACATAACTTAATTAAACCTCATAACACCTGGAAAAAGCAGGGAAACAATCCTTGATTATGTGTCCTAGAGAAGGAGCCAGGGCTACTGTTTAACAGTAAATTGTAGCAGTATACATTTGTGAAGGGATGCAAAGGGAAAGAATTAATATGTCCAATAAAATACTGAAGGGAATTTAATTCAGACATATCCTTTATTCTTACAAAAATGGGCCCCAAACCCCTCTATTATTCATAGGTACTCAGGGCCTATTTTATCTCCCATCAGCTTCTCCAGAAGGCAATGCTGACTGCTACTGAAGCATAGCTTCTGCACCAGCTCATGGACAGGAACTCATTATTCTAAAATCAGTTAGACCTTCATTTCGAAATGTGAACTGCACCAGATGATTTTTTTTAGCTATCTTACTCTGTAAGTTGCAAAACAGATTCTCGTCTCAGTGACAGCACCTCTTTTTCAGTGCAAGAACACTGGCTTTGCACAATGGAAGTGGTGATTAGTATCAGCCTGTTCAGACTAACACTTGATTATTGTCCATATAACCCTTATGTAGATTCACTTCAGTAGCTAAAATTTCACAGTAATCTGGAAAAAATTGAAACAAAACCAGGCTTCTTCATGAAGATCTAGACTATCTTCATATTATTCATTCTTTGCAATATAAGGTGAGAAACTATACGATCTCTTACATAAAAAACATATTTAATTGTAAACTGTGTTGCATATATATAACCATGTTCTCCAGCTGCTAAAATTATTCTCCAATGATGCTAAATAATATTCCCTGCCATTTTT